CAACAAACTCTAATAAAATTAATTCTTAGGAAACAAATTTTTCTTACTAAACAAACCAAATCTCAAACAAATCAATTAGTCATCAACACATTACAAACCCAGAAAAGCACATCAGTATCTACCCAAAAATGATAACCCAAATGGAGAATATGTTTTGTTTTCAATAGAAAAAAGAAAACCCATTCTAAATCAACAGATCTTTAAAAAAAATTACAAATAAAAGAGCAGTGGGCTTTTTATAAAAGTACCACCAAAATTCTTCAACAGTGTCGAAGGTGTAAACTTTGCGTAACGTGCTACCCCAAGCGGCGCCTTGTTTAGGCTTAGATTGGTTATCAAACCAAAAGGCCCACTTTCTTTCAAGCTTGTGCAGCTGCTTCTCAGCTCCTGTTGTTGCGGCTGCTTCCGCAACCGCTGCAGGGACGGGAACTTCCTCCGCCGCCTCAGTTGCTGCAGCTGCTTCTCAGCTCCTGTTGTTGCGGCTGCTTCCGCAACCGCTGCAGGGACGGGAACTTCCTCCGCCGCCTCAGTTGCCATAAGTTGTTATATGTTTGTTGTTCTTTCCCCTTCGGTATCTTGCAGGAGGAAGTGGAAAAAGAGAGAAAGAGGGGTTCAATTTGGATATCATATAATCTTTTGTAGGTTGGGGCTTTCTATTGGTAATGGACTTTTAGCATTGAAGTAGCTGTGGGTTATTCTGTTATCCATGTCTTTTCTTCTACTTTCTCAAAGCCCATTTTTAGCTTTATGATTATTCATAAATCCATGCTTTTGTCTTTTCCCTTTTCTATAATATATTTTAAGTAAATACCGAGTGCAAGAGTCCGTGATTAGAATCCTCGTATAATTTTTAGAATCCTCATATAATATTTTTTAGCATGAATCCAAGTGATTTGATGATAAAAAGAATTATTTTTATCTTTTGAGATTTTGAGTTCGAGCACCAGTAATATCAGAAATATGAGTGTTTAATATCAAATGATTGAGTTTTACAGATATTATCTTGTACATTAGATATAATTTTAAAAAAATTAATTAAGTGATAAAAATAGAACTAGTATGATAGTTTTATCTTATTATATGGTCTAATATAAATTTTACTTGACTCAAATTAAAATTTAAAAGAATAAATTTAACTTTAAATCAATTGTTATATTCTTAATAAATATTATAAATATAATTTAAAATGATTTAATAAATATTATTTTTAAATTTTACTTGCCCTTACCGTTGAAAATATGTGTATTTGCTTGGCGCGTGAGGCTCTCCCTACGAGGGGACGACTTGCTTTGGCTGGGTTATCATCGGGCATAGTTTTCTTTGTGTCATCTACCGAGTCTGCCATGCATGCACTGTACTGTTGAACTGGTATTGAGTGCTGCAGGCTTCTCTTCTCCTATGATTTTTGCTGAACAAGTGTCGTGCGGGAATGGTTATACTACATGTCTCTAGTCCTTCCTTTCCAAAGGTTTGTACTCCTCGTTTTGCTTTGGCATCTTTGGCACCGTCAGAATATATTGGTATGAGGGCCGGTTAATCTCAGGTTGGCAGGTTATAATGTCCAGTCGAGCTCTTTTCGGCCTATTCTGTTGTGAGTGGTTTGACGGGTGATTCTCCAACACATGATTCGAGTTCCAACTAAAATCTCCTCTGCATGCTATCACCGTGAATGTCGACGATACATGTCTGATAAGCCCATATGCCTATTGTTGGTATCATCGCTACAGATCATCATGGTCTTGTGGTGGATGGCCCGTGCAATGCAATAAACGTTGAGGCCACTGTGCTCACCGAAGGAATCTGACTGGCACTGGAGTTAGATTGTTCAAATAATATTGAAAGTGATACTGCCAAATGTCGTTCATCATTTATTGCAGGCTCCAACTGATTTATCCGTAGTTGGATTCTATTTGTAGGATGTTAGGGGCTTACTTCGGGAGCATCGTCATCCCAGTGTCCATTGCATTCGACGTTCGATGAATATGGCAGCTCATCGGATTGCACAATTTGCTTTATCAATTATTAGGCCCATCTCTTATGATTACGATTTCCCTAGTTGTATCTCAAATATTCTTGTGATTGATGTCGTTAATGGCTACTTTTATATATTAGTATTTCCTAAAAAAAAATTTAATATTAATTTTATTAAAATAAATAAAGAGTTATTTAATTAATTTTTATTTTTAAACGAATTAAAAAATAACTTTAAATTGATCTTCAATTTTAATCATAGTTTAAATTAAATATTGATTTAATTTAGTTTAAAATAAATATTTTCTAAATAAAGAGCCAATTAATGTAGTTAGAAATATAATACTTATATATATATATATATATATTAGTGGTTAAATATTGGTTTTAGGTTCAATCCTTCCTAATAGTAATTTGGCATAATTTTAAGAGGTGATATAATTTAATTTGAATATTAATTTAGATGAAATTTTAATAGATGCTTAGTTTTGACTTAGTGGCCTTTAAACTTATGTGTGGGGTTTTGGATTTCAATCTTTTTCTTTCTTTATTGAACGCAACATTATATACTAGATTTTTTATGTTCGGTCACACCCCAAAATTTAAAGACTTGTATGTAAATTTTATTTAATTATACTATGTCACTATTTATAAATAATTTTATATTTTAAATATATTAACCAATCATTGAAATAAATAATATTAATTTAAATATAAGCGAACAATTATAGAGTGATTGTATAATGAAGTTGATTTAATGTATTATTTTAAAATAAAAAGTATTACGAATTAGACATAAAATTTAAATACTTTTTAAAAGAATATTTTTCAATTTTAGTTTGAAGTGTACGAAATGTCCGGCTCGTTATCGTCAAAGACACGATTCTACCACTACAAAGCCGATATTACAACTTTTTTGTTTGATTATTAGCATTTATAAACATATAAGTATCGTCAACAACCTATAAAACAAATGATTAAAAGTTTCCAATTAACATCTCTCTTCTCTCCTAGGTTGTGGTTTAATAACTTAACATTTTCCTGAATGCATGGGACCAAGAGAGGACATCACTTGACATCCCTCGAAAATTCGAGGCTCAACATAAAATAAATTGTGCCCAAGGTATATGAAACTTAAACAATTCATTTTCTTGCATGCCTCCAGAAGAAGTTGTATACCACCCTCGATACTTGTAGATAACTTGTCAAAATACCCTAACATATCTTTCCCATAAAGGGTTTGGGGATTCCTCGCATTAAGTGCCCTCCCAACAACATAAACTCCTTGCTCCCCATGGAACCAAGTTGTATTTATGATACAAAACATCTATATATAACTTTTAGTAGGCACAAAAACTCAATAGTATGGTGAAGCCTCAAAAAATTATCTACAAAGTTATGAGCAACACACATCAGAAAAAGAAAAGAAAATAGAGAATCAGATAAAAAAACAAGAGGTTTGGATGAAATATAAAATAGAGAATTTTAGACAATATATTACCTAATAGATCACATAACAAAAAATGTTTAACATAACTAAAAATAAATTTAGTGATAAGCGGTAATGGTTGTGAGTGGAGGCTGACGATGGGAGACTTTGGATTAATTCAGGTGTTAAATTGATAATTTATCTAAATTTTATAGTTAAATAATATTTTATCTAAATTTAAGGGGTCAAATTAATAATTAACCACTTTTATTAACATGACATGTCATTAAACTAACATGGTTAATAGTTCGGTGATCAAAATGAAACAACCAATAACGTAAGTGATCGAAATGTAACTGTTTCAAAATAGATAATCAAGAGTAAATAAAATTAAATAAAAATGATCATTTTGGTAGTTTTCCCTTAAATAAAATTGCATTCGTGAGAGGATACTATTTTAAAGTACATTTGAACACATAAAATTTGGATATTAAGATAAATATAAAATCGATTAGATATTGGTTTTGGTTGTTATGGGTATGTTCATTTTTTTTACACGTAATTAATTTTTTAATTTTTTTAATAAATATTTAATTAAACGTAGATCTAAAATTGTCTTTAAAAAAAATTTCAAAATTTTATTTTGAAAAACGATTTTATAAGTAGTCAACCGTACTTAATCCTAAATGACCGACGACATCTCAAAATCTTTTAAAATTAAATTTTCAAATAAATTGAGTATTTAAATTCTTCAGTAAATAAATTTTAAAAAATAAAATCTTTCCCTAGATTCTTATAAAGACGCAACCTTGGAATTAATGATATTAAGCAAGTAGAACACGTCAATCGCCCTTAATTCAGGTGATCTGTTAGTCACACAAAAAACAGGAAATAAAACATAACTGTTTTGTCCATAAACAATGATTTGTTAACGATAATTTTGGTTTATCATTTTTAATGTATGAAAATAGCTGCTATAATATCGTTTTGATACGTATACTTTTATAAAAATGGTATATATAGTTTTCTAATATCTATCGTGAAATTTATATTTCGACAAAAAAATTCACCGTGATACATATGTTTTAAAAAAATATCAAATATGGTACCCATACTTTTATAAAAAAATGTTCAATGCAGTACTTTTACTTTAGAAATATATAATATAGTATCTATACTTTATCAAATTATTCAATATAACACATGAATTATTATCTCGTGTATTATTATATTGCTTGAATTAACACATTTAGTAAGTGATGTACCATAACCATAATTTTTTGTATTATTATGATACTTGAGTTGTCATTGTTTTGTTAGTAAATACTAAATCAGTCGATAAAAATTATTGCATTGAATATTTTATCAAAGTACAAGCACCACATAGACCTTTTAAAAGTATAAGCATCACATTAGATATTTTTTCAAAGTGCAGGTATCACATTAAATATTCTAAAAGTATAGATACCATATTAGACATTTTTGTAAAAATACTGCTACCAAATATGAGATTACCCCAAAAATATTAACGAAGTAAAGTTATCTAATAATTAAAAAAAACTAAATTATTATTTGCAGCACAACCAAATTTATATTTAAATATTTGCAAATTCTCTTTACAAGTACCTTCAGTTTTTCTCTAAAGCTCACAACTTGAAAACGAAGATTAAAAAAAATGGTGAAAGGTGATGAATCCATGTCAACTGCAGCACCCAGAGCACCGGTGACTGGTGAAAGAAAGGTTCGAGATGACTTAGAAATATGCTTACCTAAGCCATGTAATTTTCTAATTTTCTATTTATTTATTTTCTACACTATTATTTGGACCAGAGATTTAAATAACGATATAGCAGTGGAATAACAGTCGTTATATAGCGGTAGTGGTGGCATTTGTGAGTGTGATACCTGTAATGACTGTACCAGCATCTGTTATATCTGTAATTGCAATAAACATAAAACGATTGAAAATCGTAATCTAAAACCCTGATTTGGAGTGTGATTAGTTTTCTTGTATGGAAATAGATTTGGCAAGAGCACTGGCGGCTCCAGACGTGGATAATCCAGAAGGGACGACGGGGCATGAGAATAATGGGATGAGTGTTCTTCAACAACATGTTGCTTTCTTTGACAAAAATAAGGATGGTATTATTTATCCATGGGACACTTACTTTGGTAATTAATCTCCCCTTCATTTCCATCTCTAATTGCTTTAAATATTTTGCCCTAAAATTTTCCAAAATTTTTTAAACATAAATTTTAGGCATGCGAGATCTTGGTTTCCATCGGTTACCCTCTTTTTTGTTAGCACTCATAATCAGCTTATCTATGAGTTACTCCACTCAACCGGTAAGTTCTGCTTTCTCGCACACACTTAATATGATTAATATTTTGGACAAATGGTCTCTCAATTATAGTAAGTTGTTTTGTTGAGTACTTTGACTTTTCAAAGTTACAAAACGGTCACTAGACTATTCATATGTTCCAAACTCGTCTTTTTCTTTTAAAAAATTGACGGCTGTCCGAGTTGGACGTTAACCTATTGATTTTGATATGATTAAAAGCAACGAGCTGCTAGTAGGCAGTAGACATTATTAAAATATAATTTTATCATATCCTAATCAGTAGGTTAACGTCCAACTCAGACAATTGATAATTTTTAATAGAAAAAAAGGTTGAGTTTGGAACATATAAATAGTCGAGTGATTGTTTTGTAACTTTTAATAGTCAGGGGAATCAACAAAACTATGCCATATAATCGGAAAATCATTTTGTAACTTTTAATAGTCAGATAACTCAATAAACCAACGCCTTATAATTAGGGGATCATTTGTATACTTTACCATAATATTTTAATGATTAAACTATTAATATAATTTTTATATATCATGTTTTAGAATCAATACACATTTAACATATGAAAAAAATATTGGACATTTTAAATTTATTTAAAATTTAACATGTAAGATTTATTGAATAAAATCTATAAAAATTATAAAATTTTAAAGGGTTAATAAAATCTTATCATTGCTTTAAATTATATTGCATAATTTTTAATTCAAAATATTCTTTTATCATTGGCAGTGGAATTTTATTAGTGTATAAACTTAAAAATTTCAAACTTCAGAAGAGTTCAAATGAAATTGAACTGTTTTACAAGGGCCATAAACCTCTCTCTGATTCGCCTTTGTTAACAATGCCTTGCTCTAAATTTGGAAAAACTCCTCTCCCTTTTAATATTTGTTTTTCAAAATCATCACTAATATTATGTTTTAGTTTCATTTTGATCACTTGTCATTAAAAATCAAACAGTGATGCTAACATAGTACCATAAGATAATATCACATAATTATTGAAAAAATAAAAAAAATTATCACATTAGTAATTTTGTTATTTTTTTAACATCGAATGACCAAAATGATTTAAAAATATTAATAAAATATAATATTTGAATTATTTTTTTTGATAGTATGGGCTATTTACTGGATAATATCTGATTAGAATATTTCTTAACCATTGACAATACGCACATACACCCTACAGACGTAACTGCTCGAACTTAGAACTTCTAGGAAGAACAATATTTCTTTTTACCACCTAAGCTACTTCTTGTTAAAATATTAAATTCATAAAAATATGTATAACTACTTTAATTAAGTGGCTGATATTCCTGGATTCGAAAATTTGGAAGTGTTGGTTTCCAAATCTGTTGTTTCCCATATACATAGAGAATACACAAAGCTAAGCATGGAAGTGACTCAGCAACATATACTGAAGGAAGGTATGCACTTATAAATTTGGAACATTGAAAACATAAAAGAAAATTATACAAATGGGAATGTGTTGAATGTAGGTTTATGCCAGTAAACCTGGAGAACGTCTTCAGTAAGTACGCACTTACACAGCCCGATAAGTTGACATTCACAGAGGTGTGGCGGATGACGGAGGCATGTCGCCTACCGTTCGACTTGGTCGGATGGTCTGTTTAAACAACCCTTAAACTGCATTTTTCCCTTAAAATTCCATATGATCATAAGAAGTTTGATTATGGATTTGCAGGTTTTTGGCCAAGTCAGAGTGGTTGGTTTTGTATTCTTTTGCTAAGGACGAGAATGGTTTTCTGACTAAAGAGGCTGCTAGAAAGTGTTTTGATGGGAGTTTGTTTGAGGATCATGTCAAAAAGAACAATGGCGGTGACAAAAAGAGTGAATAAAACAATGAAACGTGGAGATAAAATAGTATGTATGTGGATAATAAGAATAAAATGGTTGTATTTGATGCAATGTTTATGTATTTATGGAGAAACAAAATGTCAGAATTTGAGTTGCTAAACAATATCATTAGCTGCACTAGCAGTCCTTGCTAAACAATATCAAGACCTAGTATCAGTTTTTCTGGTTCAGAAGTGACGTTTAGATTATGTTTGATTTTAGTACATCCCAGTTGTTTAAAACTTAACGGAACTATTGTACGTGACATTTTTTTATAGACGAATTACATCGCTTAATTATCTTCTTACTATTATTTTATCACGAAAGTTTAAAAATTTTCAATTTAACTATTCAACTTTGCTCTTTACAGTTCTGCTGTTCTGCTTTTGATGTGTCTGTTCTCGTGCAATAGTTGCAGTAGTGAGAATTTCCGGTACTTGTTTTCAGTGTTTTGCGTGATGGGTTGAAGATTGTTGAAGTCTTGGTGTTATGTAGTGTCTTAGCAGGTTTGGTGATTCCGGTTTCTACTGCTCTTCATATCCTTCCCATTGCTGCTGTGTTTGCTTTAGATCAGTTTAGATCAGTATTGCTTGTTTTCGTTCTAGTTACTTTCTGCTATATGGAATGCATTAGTGATTTTGTATTGGGTAATGTTTTGGGGTATGTCCTATCTGATGTAAGAGACATAATTGTATTTGATCCTATCCACCTTTTGGTTCGCTCTTTTTCTTTCATTTAGGCCTAGGAGATTTTTTAATGAGGCCCTTGAGATGATGTAATTTACAAATTATAATACAAAATACTTTCTTTCAAAAAAAAAACTATTCAACTTTCAAATTGCTCATATTTTAATCACTTTAATTTATTTTATAAATATTTTTGTAACATGACATTTTTATTATTATTTTATTAATGTAATTAAAATAAAAAATAAACTTAAAAAATTATACTCAAATCCAAAATTATATCACAAATCTAAATCACAAACCCTCACCAACTCACCCCACCCTCACGGCCTCACTCTTGCTGGCCTTTTCAACCTAACCTTCCTTTTTATTTTAATCATATATTAATAAAATAATAATTAAAAGATGTCACGTCCTAGAAAATATTAATAAAATAAATTAGAGTGATTTAAAATATGAACAATTTGAAAGTTAAGTGATTAATTAAAAAAATTAAACTTTAATGACCAAAATAAAAGTGAGAGATTGTTGAATGAGAAATGATGTAATTACCCATAAAAATTGACCTACAACAGTTGCAGCTAAACTATACGATAGCTATAATTTGAGAAAAAAAATTAAGTACCAAAAGAAAAAAAAAATTAGGGTAAAAAAATGTCACGTATTACAGTCGAACTAACTGCAAGAAACATAAAAATGGCAAGCCACAACTGTGTTGCTTGTTGTAGAACACAGGATTTTGGTTTGCAGTGATTAGGGTTAGGTTCAATTCCCAACAAGTTCAAATGTAGACAGAAAAATAATAATCTATATCTTAGTTCATGTATAACCCCTAAAGTTTAACGTACACGCTGCTGTACACTTTTGGGACCAACAGTGGCGCTCTGAGTATGAATGTAGGCCACTGCAACCGAGAAGGCCTGCAAAGCTGAGAGTGTTGGTTGAAAATGAATAAAATACAGGCCGTAGCAAACTTTTGATATTGTCAACGTCGGAGAACCGTGTTCGGGACCCTGTATTGTGATTCGTTGTAGTTAAGTTAAAAGACTGTTAACCATGAAAATGCTGAACTAGAGGGGCCACCATTTCTGGTTCTTGGACCACCATGAATACCTGCTGGAATTACAACTTTCATACTATTGAGCAATCACTTATACTACCAAAACAAACAGAACGATCCAGGGTTTCCGAAATGTCTCCGTTTGGCACATCCACCGGTTTCCTTAGAAACTTTAAGCCCCCCCTCCAGCTTCCGCCCGAGGATTCTCAGGAAATAATCCTCACAACAACGGCAATCAGCTCAGATTTGGTGAACTTGTTCATTGAAAAGGTTTGTCTGGTCAATTGCATCTGGTTTGTCGACTGTATCTCGACAAGGATCCGAAGAAGAATCTTCCATCATGGAACTTGGTCGATGAATCTAGACACCGTTCTCTGCTTCAATGAATGACTACCCTTGAATGCATCCACTACCTTTTTCGATAGACCCTTATTTTTCCAGTGATTATCTCTTGATGTTTGCATACCACTGAACAAAACAAACTCTGTCTCCATGATTTTAGAATCTTGGGAGCAGATTGAGAAAGAAGTAGACACCGTCATCTTACCAACAAGGTGCGATTCGTTATCACTAATCCGATGTTCCTTACCGTTACTCTTGCTCAAATAGAACAAGTACACATGTCCAAACCCTTATTTCGGCAGCTCCATCCTTTGACAGATTGGCTATAACACCTCCTGTAGACACATGTTTTTGTCCGGATCTTTATTTTATTTTTATTTTTTATTATTATTATTATTATTATTACTTTTATTATTATTAATATTACATGTACATTTTTTGAAGGCTTAATGGACAGCCCAGATTACAGACAAGCCCAATACACTCAAGGCCACTTATGTGACCCATCAACCCAGAAGACCAACACATTAGGGTTTTTAAACCTTACTCGTCGGCCTTCTAGCGTACATTTTTTGAAGGCTTAATGGACAGCCCAGATTACAGACAAGCCCAATACACCCAAGGCCCACTTATGTGACCCATCAACCCAGAAGACCAACACATTAGGGTTTTTAAACCTTAGCTCAACTGTCGCCTTCTAGCTCCCACCAACGCTCCAACTGCCGCCGAGCCACCAAGTCTCTGCCAAGCCTCCTGACGCCATCGCCGTCGACAATATCTGCACCAAACAGTGACCATTGTACATCCATCAATCCATCAACAATAGAAAATTCAGAAAATCCAAAAGAAATCTTATCCTAATTCTAGGATATTATGAACCTATA